GGGTTTTCGCTAATTACTCAGTCAAAGAAAGTCAGTCAAAATCGAATGTATTGCGGTTTGATGATTGTTATGACTTTCAACATCAATATAATATGTTTCTTAATATTGAAAATTTTCCCTCAAATTTATCGATACTTGTGTCTATTGTTGATCGATTTTCTACGATGGTATATAATCTATGTTATATAGGTGCAGAGATAACCGAAAATAACCACAAAAAAAATAAGATTAAAGATTCTATGACACTAAGCGATTCAGATAAGCTGTATCTTAAAATATACAGTTTAAAAAACAATATAAATAAGCAATTCGAAAAATTTGGTATGTTCATAACAAAAATATTAGAAGAGATTCCGGAAACGCCGTTAACCACAAAGGAAAAATTTAAACAAACTTTTCTTTCAAAAACCAAAAAAACAGAGTTGATAGAAAAAGTTTTCGGAGATATGACTGAGAATACCTGCGAACTAGTCAAGGCTGCTAACAATATGCTCTCAGAACTCATTATCAATATTTAATTGAAATTAACAGGTCAACTTTGAATAGGCATTATTTATGAAAAAATTGTATACCAAATAATACATTCAGAATCGTAAAACAATACTTTTCAAAAACAATATTTGTTACCTTTCTCGGTTACAATTATTTTTCTTTGTCTACTCCCTATATATAGTTGTAATATACAAATACGAATACATATTTTATTATTTTAAGGGATATTATGATATATTACCATTATATACAATATAGGAGATTATCAGTTTACATTAAAAATTAAAATATACATATAAGTTCTAGAGCTACGATTTTGATGACTTTTGCATTTTTTTTTAAAGTGCTTTACAGCATTTTTGTGTATTATTTAGGTCATTAAAATCCCAGCTCTACGATATAAACAACCAATGGCATTGTTATAGTCACTATACACAACTATTTATATAATCCTTTAATTGTAATTATATAGATAGGTAGTAATAACTTATTGCTGAAGAATTCTAGTATACTTATAAAAGAATACAAAAAGTATAATCTAAAAAAATGTATTATATGAATTTTAGTACTTAAATTATACAATTAATATGAAAAATATAGTTTGATTATTTACTTAATATAAAAACTTGAAAAATTAACTGCTGTAGTATTCTACTTCATTTTCTTCTCATTCACCTTAAAAAAAATGTTTCTAAATGTACCCATGCTCTTAATTTGTCAAAGACCAAAATTTTAAACTTAAAATTGTTCAAAGGATATTCTTCTTTGAAACCTAAATAATTTTTTTTACATAATATAATATCTAAACTAAACATCACTGACACTGAGGACTAAATATGAAATACCTAGAAGTCCTCAGCTCTACTAATAACTTATTTCTATTATAGTATTAAATAAATTGTAATTTGTAAATTATTAAAATTTACAAAATATGTTTAAAACAAATGAAACAAAAAACAATATCAACCAAAATGGGCACATAAACGAAGATAAAAAAAATATTTAATTTATGAATAATTATTATAAATATATTAATATTATTGTTATATTTAAAACTGGCGTATATTATAATTTATTTTCTTAAGTAACACTCACATACATTTTGTAGATTGTCTTGCAAGGTATTTATTTATTTATTTTTTTTTTTTGTCAACATTAAAGCTGTTCTAGTATTCATGTGTACCTGCTTTATTTGATCTATACAATATCGTAATGACATCTAAATTACATAATATGAGTGTATTTTGAAATGAAAACTCATCTTACTGGGTGCTGCTCTCCGCTAGAAGCCTTGAACCATGTGAGTAAATGCGTGAATATATAAGCAACACTGACAAATGGAACCCTTTAAATTTAATAAATTTATATATATTCTATTCGTAATATATAATAATATAAAATATATTTGTGTGCACTTGTATTCGTCAGCGGATAGTGTCTCTTACACCCATAGATATCATACAGTGGCAAACACTAAAAAATAAAATTGGATACCATATTGAATCACTTACCTCTATATTGGCTAATATTGAAAATATTGGTCATTTTTTCTGTCATCACTTTGGTTTATAACAATTTGAGATGTACTCTAGCATACAAATATAATCATTTTTTGGTTTAAATTAAAATCACACTTAATAGGTTAACTAAATTTTTACTATTGAGACCTATGGATTAAAGTAATAATTTTGCTTATTTAGAACTTAATGTTTCATACTTTCAAAATTTACGTTATAGAAATATCCTACTTAGCTTATAGATGTTTAAGCATAATCTAGCTAGAGTTAATCACTCATATAGTACTCGATATAAATACAATATTAATATTTGTGTACCTATTTCTAAAAAGCAATTAGGTCTAAAAAATTCTGTATCCACAGCTTCTCTGATATGTAGACAGCTTAATACAGATATATTTGTATATTTAAATCTTTTCGGAAAACTTAAGATCTCACTTATTTAAATTTATGATAAAACGTGTTAATTTATAAAAGTTTTGTGATTATACAGATTGCTAAAAATGCTTATCTTTTTTTCTATTAGTTTTACTTATGTAAATCTTATAATAATTTGTTTATCTTTTTTTTACTATCTTGTATTGTACTCAAACTTGTATACCCCCAAAAAAACAAGCTTATGCTTAGAGGGGAGTTGCAAACATGTATCTTATATATTTCTTCTAATATATTAGATTAAATGTATATTATTTTTGCTAAATAAAGTTATTATTATTATTATTATTATTAGTATTCATTATATTCATCGAAGAAATAGTTTAGTTAATAATATGAATACCTAATCAAAATGGTATACGAGGATGTTCCAAATGATGAAATCGTTCGATCCGATGTGGATGATAAACTAACGGATAGTAGCAGGTGTCAATATGTTAGAGATTTGTACAGTCTCTGTCTCGAAGCAACCACATTTTTAAAAATGACTTTCGGCAAAGAAGATTCTGTGAGGAACGAATACGCTAAGCAAGCAAGTATTATTTTGACAACGATTAGAAATCGGTCTATTGAGGTAATCGAATGGTATAAGTTCAAAGGCTGCAGGGACCTATTAAAAGTGTCATACCATATTTACGTTGTCTTGAATCCAATGCACACTGATCATTTAAAATCTAGTCAAGTTCCGATGTTCATGTCATTGATAATGTCTATTTTAAATAGCTATGGTATTGATAACTGTAGTCCACCAAAATTCAATTTCTTGTTATTGAACAGTACATATCTCGAGGCTATAGGCAATGATGATGTAGGTACTTAATAAACGTTTAAATTCATTTGTGCAGAGAATTTATGATTACCAAAACGTATCGATAGTTGAAAACTACTCAACTTTTTTAAATATTGACAATTTTTATAAAACATTTATTGAACAAACGGCTTTGTTCACTTTAAACAAACACACGATAAGTTTTTTTTACAAAGGTGAAAGGAAGAACATTGATGAAATTTACAAGAACATAAGTGCAATTAATTTGGACCCTTCGCATGTGTTCAAATTGTATGATATATATTTTAAATTTGTTCTTGGTTCGGTATTTTACAAAGTTTGGCGTTTCGCTTATTATTTAGTCATTGCAAATCATCCAAAATCGAATGTATTGCGGTTTTATGATTGTGTTGACTTTCGCCATCAATATAAGATGATACTTAATATTGAAAATTTTCCATCAAATTTATCGATACTTACTTGTATCTAATGTTGATCAATTTTCAACGATAGTATATAATCTATTTTATCAAAGAGCAGAGATAACCAAAAATTACCTCCAAAAAAATAAATCTAAAGGAGAAATACCACATTTTATATTGTTTGGCAGAGAATACGATTCAGATAATCTTTATTTAAAAGTACTCAAATTAAAAGAAAATACAGAAAACCAACTTGGAAAATTTGGGATATTCTTAACAAATATAATAGACGAAATTCAAGAAAAGCCGGAAAAGCCGAAAACCATAAAGGAAAAATTAAAACATTTTGCTCTTAGTAAACCAATAAAAACAGAATTGTTAGAAAAAGGTTTCGAAGATACGACTGTGAATACCTGCGAATTAGTCAAGGTTGCTAACAATATGCTCACAAAACTCATAATCAATATTTAATTGAAGGTAACAGGTGTCAATTTTGAATAGACATTATTTATGAAAAACTTTTATACCAAATAATACATTCGGAATCGTAAAACAATAATTTTTATAAACAATATTGTTACCTTTCTCAGTTACAATTATTTTTCTTTCTCTACTAACCCACTTAGTTGTAATACATATTTTATTATTTTAAGCGTTATTATGATATGTTAACATTGCATACAATATAGGAGAATGACAGTTTATGTTAAAAATTTAAATTTGTATCTATTATATAATTTTGATATCATATGTGTTATTTTAATATATTGTTTTTAATGTTGTCTAAAAACCTGTAGTTTTGTCTGTATATTCTAATTATTTACCAAGAACATAAATTATTGTAAAAATATAGATGTTTAAATTTAAATGAATGATGTTCATAAGATCTGTATTATTTTAGAATTTAGATGAGTTGATTGAAAATGTCACTGAATGTCTATTTCAACATAATTCGTCTTATCTAAATATAAAATATTTTTAAATAAAAGATTTATATAGATATAAAATAAAATAAAATTGTTATCATTGTTTTGCTTCAGATTGTAAAATCAACAATAAACATAATAAAAACTGGTGTTTCGTTATTTAACGAATAATTTTTTTTTTTTATATATATACCTATTACCTAATATACATAATTCTACACAACTTACCTAATGTGCCTATGCTTTGTATAGAACTGCTTTATGTCGTTTTGATTGAGCATTTTATACTAGGTTTGTCTGCAGGTTAGCCGTAATAACATTTGACAACTAGACAACTGCTTCAGTGCAGTTTCGTTTACTTTCGAGTGAGTTTTTCGACAGTAATTTTGTATTAAATATTGTTGAAGATTTTACTATTTTGGTAAATTTAAGTAAAATCATGGAATTCAAAATCATAGAAAGTAAACGAGGATGTCGTATGGCAGTGTATAATAAATTTAAATATAACTTTGGATCAACAAGTAAAGAAGACGGATTTACCCGTTGGAGATGTGTTACGAGAACTTGTAGTGCACTAATATACTCAGACAAGAGTGATTTTTTTCTTTCAACGGCTGGAGAACATAATCACGAATCTTACGATCTAACAAATATTTATCGTCAAATTGTAAATGTTGGATGTAAACGTAAAGCTGTAGAAGATATGCATGTACAATCGAAAAAAGTAGTATTAAAGGAAATTGCTCCTAATGACCATGCAGCAACAACATTTACTGTAAATGATATTAACACGTTCACGGCCACAGTATAATTTAGGAAGTTGTTTAAAAATACCAGGCTGAGAAAAAATATATATAAAGCTCGTAAAAGTGTCTTCCCTCCTAATCCCACTAATATTAATGAAGTGCATACACTTATTGATATGGAAAAAATAATTACTACTAGAGGAGATTCGTTTTTATTAATTAATGATAAAAATAAAAATGTATTGATTTTTTCATGTGAAAAAAATGTATAAATGTATTATTCTTGAGCCAAGTCGAAAATATATACGTAGATGGTACTTTTAAATATGCGTCAAGATTTTTTAATCAAATGTTCACTTTACATGGATTTGAAAATGGACATTATATTCCGTTAGTATTTTGTTTGCTCATTGACAAATCGGTCAAAACTTATGAATTTGTGTTTACTATGATTGTTGAAAAGTGTAATATACTTGGTTTTCTGTTCTCACCAGAAAAAGTTACCTTTGATTTTGAATTAGCAATTCATAAAGCTATAGAAAATGTCTGGCCGAATACAACAATAATTGGATGCCAGTTTCACTTAACTCAATCATGGTGGAGAAATGTTCAAAAGTGTGGTTTAACTTCTTTCTATAAAGACGAATCTTCAGAAATTGGAAAGTGTATACGGTATACATTTGGTTTGGTATTTTTAAATCCAGATGAAGTATCAAATTGTTTCGTTGAAGACCTACTATCTGACTGTCCAGTAAATGACAAATTAACAAATTACTGTGACTATTTAACCGATACTTACATATCCGAAGACTGTTTATTTCCACCGAGTATTTGGGCATCTAATACGTGGGAATTAATAAAAACAACCAACGAGTGTGAATCTTTTCATTCTTTTTTTAACAAAAGTTTTAATCATATTTCTTCACCAATAAGTGCCTGGTTAAGTGTTATAAATGAAATTCAAACCGGGGTCTACATAAAATTAAATAGTATTCATTTACAAAGGTAAAAATTATAAATCGACAGAGACAAAATGAGGAAAAAATACAGCAATATAAAGCAGGAAAAACTAATCGGTATGATTTTATTAAATCAATGTCATTTAACTATTCTATCTAATACTACAATACTAACAAATAGGTAATAATATTTTGACGATTTTTATTTTTGATAACAAATAACTTACATTATATAAACATTATATTAATGTGCACAAACACAATACATTTTTGGAGAGCAATAGAAGCCGCCTCCTCGTGGTACTCTCTGGGTAATGCTAAATGACTTTATAAAAATGTATTATTATGTTAGATATAAATAATTTAAAGTAAGTGTTTGCCAAAGTGTGTATTTTACAAAAGGTGGCTGAAAAGTGCTATATAATATTATTGGGCAAAAAGGGAAAGTAGTTTTAAAATATTTAGGCGAAAAGAGACGTGGGCGAAAAGCGAAAGGTCATTTTTGGGCGAAAGGGGTCTTGCCCTCTATTTTAATCATTTTAACTAGTGATGTGGTTCTTGACGTCTGGGAAATGTACATTGTAAAATATGTACGGTAACCGTAAATTAAAAAAAAAGAATTTACACTTTATATTTTTTTTACTCTTCAAAAAGTCCGAGTGATCACGTAATTTGTTTGTTTTTGTATTTCTTTTTAAGACATGAGAATTATAATACAAATGAGGATTTTTATAAAATGATAATGATCGATAAGACGTGATAATAATTAAAGAGATTAATAAATACAACATTGCATCACTTTAGTCGATTTAGTGGTATGTGGTTATTGGTTTATATAGTTTAATATGTAATGTTATCACTTTATTTTATATTTTTCTTGCCTTATTTACACACTATTGTGACAAAATTCAATAGGTACACTATTAATCAATTTTTAATAACAATTTATAAATTTTAAAGTAAATTCAGGTCTATTAACGATGTGTGTCGCCGCCACAACAGAATAAGCACCATAATCAGGCATGTATCCAGGGGGAGGGTCCATGTGGTCTAGCCCCCCCCCCCCACACCCGAAATTCTTGTGTACCGGCATATAAAAATAAATAAAAGGTTTTATATATAAATTAAGCATAAAAATTGTACTAACATTTATTTCAAATGTTATTATATTATAATATGCAGATATAAAGTGAGATATCGCATGCAACCGCATCATCTGCGTATTTAATATTTTTCACGGCCGTCGAAACTAGCTAGATTGTTCTCTATGTGATATCAACGCAGAACCCGCATTATTATTTGTCGTGGCGAAAATCGCTAGTTAAATTATTATTTTGTTTGACGTGCGCAATTCAGTGTGTGATATAATATTATAATATTGTAAATCGTAGAATCGTAAATCGTCATTAATAATATTTGATCGTAGGCCCGAATCGCCACATATAATGTTTGATAGATGGCGCGAATCGCTAGTTGTATTGTTATTAATAATTTAAGAAATATTCCAAAATATGCTAAATGGTTTAAATATTCTCTAACAAATGAAATATTCTGTTATAAGCAAAAAAACTTTTTTCTGCGCATTCAGAATTGAACGAATCGTCCACATTGTTTACACTCATAAGACTGTGTGGACCCTGAAGCGATATGTAAAAACATATAAATCTGGTCTTTAGCTTTACATACAACACAACGGTTGACTTATACAATATATAATACTAATTACATTAGCGATTCGCACCTTGAAATAATAATACGATAATAACTTATTATCGTGTTATTATTAATGATTTTAATAATTATTTAATGCCAAATATAATTATTTATTACATTTAGGAAAAGAAATTCAAAAACTATAATATTGTGAAAATATTATGTTACCTAAAATAAAATATATTATATAGATTGCTCTATATTTACTCGATTAAATTCAAATCCATCTCCATATTACATTATTGTATATGTGTCATTAATAATATTATTCTTGTTCATTCAATAGTTAATATACTTATTATTGGTGATTATAATGTTTCTGGCTTTTCTTGTACTGATTATACCCAAATTAATGAAATAAGAAGACATTAAATTTATTGTTTTTTCTTCATCTCAGTAGGACTTTATGTTGCATATTATAAATATTTACGTATATATAAATAACGTAATCATTATACAGTTTTTATCATATTTAAAATACCAAACTTCCAAATAAAAATTTTAATGTAGGTACTTATACAGTTATTGATAGGAAATAATCTTAAGGAAACCAAAAGAAAAATTGTTACGTATAGTTAGAACGAATGATTGTTTGATCAATTGCTCTAATAACGTTATATTTATATATATATATATATATATATATGTTGTATATATATATATATGTTGTATATATATATATATATATATATATAAGTATATAACCAACCATTGGCATTGTTCTAGTCACTTTTCACAGCTATATAAATAAGCTTTTAATTGTAATTATACAAAATTATTATTGTATAGTTACCTAAATCATGCCTATATAATAAATTATTTTCTTAAGTAACACTCACATACATTTTGTAGCTTGTCTTGTAAGATATTTTTTTATTTTGTTTTTGTAAACACTAAAGCCGTTCGAGTATTGTGTACTTGCTGTATATTTTGAGCTATACAATATCGTAATATGTAAATATAGATATCATACAGTAGCAAACACTAAAAATTAAAAGGGATACCATATTGAATCACTAACCTATATATTGGTTAATATTTAAAATACCTATTGATAAATTTTTCTGTCTGAAATTCAGAAATATATAATAATTTTTGCGTTTATATTATATTGTAAAAGAAACTATGCAAATAAAAGGTAGTATAATAATATATACATAATATAAATAATATAGATATATATATATATATACATTATACATAATATAGTTAATTAGTATTTTAGTATTTAAAAACTTTATTCACCGAAGAAATAGTTTTATAAGGATATGAATATCTAATCAAAATGGGTTTAAAATAAGTAAATTTATTTATAAAATAAAATCAAAAACATTAATTAAAATTTTTACTTGAATATTGAAACTCAATTATGCTGGTATAATAAGTATACATTATTATAATTAGGTATTAAAGTTGTAATCAGTTGGATATAAGTTTGAGTTTAATTTTTAATGCGAAATTTATACTTTATTCTTCATCACAAAATGTTCCTATAGACTTTTATTGATATGCGTAAACAAAATGAACATATTTTATAACAACAGCTGTTCAACTTCTAAACATACTGTAATTTTGACTGGTAAATAATATTACAAACATATTTTATTTTAGAAACGAAATACGACGATTAAAACAAATTCATACGCAGTAGTTAGTTTGAACATAATATAGTACGCTATATCAAAATGTCGCATATTAAACTATATAATTTTATATTTATTTTTTTGTGCATTACATTGAACATTTTTTCAGTTTTATCAAAATTATCAAAATTAGAGAATGATGTCAACCTTGCAGTAGGTTCTAGTATATTTACCAGTGATCATTTGTCATATAGTATTAAACTGAATCCCGACATGGATTTAAATCTGTATATATATTTGGTTTCATCTGCAGCTCCAGTCACAAAAACAGATATGTACATGAATATATTTTATATTTATACAAACTGTTCATTTGCTGAATGGCTTCAGAATAAACTATTTAAATTTATTGAAAAATTCCCAATATTTTATCAATCAAAATTCCAGAACACTTTTAATAATGAATTAATTCAACGTTTTGTAAGGCCGAATCTAATTGATAAATTAATTGAAATCGACTCTTTTGTTAAACGCTTCATAAATATTTTACTGCACAATTTTTTACATCTCACTGATTCCAGAGATTATGATACTTTGTTATTAAAAACAATGTTATTACTACAATTTAAAATTCACTTTTTGACGCAATATGTAGATACCAAACAACCACCAACAGATGATGTAGTAGTTCGTTCAATTCTTGAAATAATGAACTTAATTCAAACGTTCATGGCCACGAATTGTGATGTTCACACTTATAATAAAAAATATTTTAAGGATGATAAATATTTTATTAAATCACCACATTTC